CAGGCCTCGCGTCCGCCTCGGTTCTGCCCGCGGCGTCTTGCTCTTGCGGTGAGAAGCCGCCTGCTCTGCAGCAGAAGCCCTTGCAGAGAGAAGAGCTGCTCAGGTTACTGCTGCGGCCGTCGCCCGCTCCGGCCRGGCCTGAAAGAGGAGAAGGGCCCTCGGGAGGGTGAACTTGGTGCTGGGTGCAGCCGGCAGCCGAATCCGCGAGGTGCTGCGGGGGGTGCCCCCCGAGAGGCAGAGGGTGGTTGGGGCAAAAGGAATCAGCCCGATCCGTGCTCAGGATGAGCCACTCGCTGCCGTCTGAGACCTCCTGGGAGGGCGGAGGAGAGGCCGCGAGGGCAGCGCGCGGCGGCCGCGTGCGCCGTGGGGCTGGAGAGGCCGCGAGGGCGGCGCGCGGATGGCCGCGGCACTGCCTGCGCTTGCCGCGCTTGCACCAAACGCCAGGAAAGGGCAGTTTTGGTCCTGAGCATCACAGATGCCCTCCCTGTGCTAGCTGGGTTAGAAACGGCGAGTCGCATCTTGCAGCTGTTGCCCACGAAACGAAATATCCTTAGAGAAGCATCCAAGAAGAAAATATTAAATGTTGGGTTTTGTTGCCTCCTTAAAACTTTGGCCTTTGTTTAACTTTGTCTGAGTAACTGGCTATTCATCTTCACGTAAATACTTASAATTTTTGAAGAATTTCCTTTCTGTAAAATAGATAAATCCTGATACGGAGCAGTCTCTTCTGTTGTCCTTTTCTGCGTGGTGGTCCCGTTGTCTTCCCAAAACAGGGAGGATGAGATTTGAATCAAGTTCCCCAAGGCTTCTACTCTTGACCTTACCTTTTCTTTTGTTTGTCTCCTTTATTTACGGGGTTTTATTGTTTCCTTGATGTTATGCAACCCCAAATTCAGTCGGCATTTCTTTTCTTTCCGCTTCCCTGTTGAATTATCGGTGGACAGGATCGGTGCCTGTCTGCCATGGGGGAARCTCCGTCTGCAGCCGGGACGCTGCCGCCCCACGTGCTGACCAGCCGCAGGAGGGATCGGGATCSGGAGGGCGAGGGGACACGCTGGGAGCTGCGGCCTGCGCCCGCTCCGGGGCAGGCTGTACGGGAGGGAATGATCCGAGTGAGCGGCGGGACGATGCCCTCGGTGCTGCCCTCGGTGCCCCGTGCTGCTCTGCCCCACGCGCTGAATTCTGCCCTTCCAGCCTCACGGCAGTTAAAGCAGGAGAGGATTTGGGTCTGGACGGGCTCTGGTGGCCGCGAGAGGATTCCCCGTGCCGCATTCGTTTATGCTGCAGTTTCTCTGTTCTCTTCTCTAGGCAAAGAGCYGGGGTGAAACCAGCCTGGCTGCACGGCTTTTCCGCACAAGCTGTGCTAAGTTTTGCATTTTTATTTCTCTGAAACCCTTTATGAAACATAAAATTCTTCTAAGAATTTTAAAAGTATTTTCTGTGTGTCTGAAAGCTACAGAACATTAAATAGAAGACACTGATTATTTCTTTCGTTATTTTAAGGGCACTGACTCTTGAGAATACCGTAAAGCTTGATAGGTCATTAACACATTTTGTATGAGATAATGGAGATAGAAGAAAATGAAGTTTTCAGATATTTGAGGCCTTTTGATTACAAAAAAGGAAAAGGAAACAGGGCCGTTGCACTTCTGCACTCGAAGCCAGCCAGAAAGGGCAGCGCAGGAGCGGAGGACAAGCTGGAGAGGCCGGTGGGAGATGCCAGTGYTTGTTTGGGGACGGGCTGGGGCGGCGGGATCTGCTTTTAGACAATAATAGAAGCGAATGAGGAGCAAAGTGCTCCAGGGGCCCCCTGAGTGAGACTCCTCCGTTCTGTGTTTGGAGGTGAGAGGCTCCCTGGATGTGCCCGGGTCCGGCTGCGCCTTTCCCTCGCGATTCCAGCACGGCCAGCGAGGTTAACGGTGCACTAGCATTTCCCTGGGAATACGGCTCGTTCAGGAGCTCTCTGGGCGCTCACACTGCCGGGTTGGCAGCAGTGCATCCCACAAGTGTGAGCAGGAGCAGCACTGGGGATGAAAAGAGGCCCTACAGCCGTGTGCAGTGCGGGGCTGGTCGGCAGCGTGTGGGGCTGCCCCACTCCTGGGCAGCCTCGGGCCGGCCCTTCCCGTGGCAGCCCCTTCTGCTGCTCCCACGGAGCGAGCCGGAGCCGGGGCTGGAGCCGGAGCTGGAGCCGGGACTGGTACCCAGGGCTGGTGCTGGAGCCGGAGCTGGAGCCGGGACTGGTACCCAGGGCTGGTGCTGGAGCCGGAGCTGGGACTGGTACCCAGGGCTGGTGCTGGAGCCGGTGCCGGGGCTGGAGCCGGAGCTGGAGCCGGGACTGGTACCCAGGGCTGGTGCTGGAGCCGGAGCTGGTGCCGGGGCTGCCTCCCGCTGCTGCCTGTGGGCGCTGGGATCATCCGTGTTCCCGGCGCCGCTCCTGCCCTCCGGCACCGCGGACTGCCCTGTCTGTGAACAGGGTGCAGGGTTTGCTGCGTTGGAGGCAGTGGGAGTCTGCTGCCAACCTCCGTGTCGTTCATATAAACCCCTATATTTCCCCTATGAGGAAATATGGAATATTTCCCCTGTGAGGAAAGGCTGAGGGAGCTGGGYCTGTTCAGCCTGGAGAAGAGGAGGCTGAGGGGGGACCTGATCAGCGTGTATAAATACCTCAAGGGAGGCAGGGAGGAGGAGGGGGSCGGCCTCTTTTCAGTGGTGGMCAGSGATAGGACTAGAGGAAAYRGCYWCAARCTGARGCACCAAAAGTTCCACAGGAACTTGAGGAAACATTTCTTGCCAGTGAGGGTGCCGGAGCCCTGGCACAGGCTGCGCAGGGAGGCTGTGGAGTCTCCTTCTCCGGACATCCAACCTTAAGCATTCTATGAGTACCTCTGATGGGCTCTGATGTCTTTTCTGGTTTAGGAAACTAAAATTAAAGGTTGCCCAGGGTTGAACTTATGCCTAAAATACTTTAATTGCTGTTATCCAGCAGCAAGACTTGCTGCTATCCAGTTCGAGTAATGCTGTGATCCTTTGCCTGGTACAGAATTTTTTGACAGTGTTTTGAGTCCATAAACCTGGCAACTGTCATACAAATGAATGAAGCTGAAGAAAATCACTACAAAGTTTAATAGTGTTAAACAGTAAGAGCCTTAGAAATGCCTGTGCATTTTTTCCCTCTCTCTTGGATGTAAAGCATCCGTTTCTTGGAAAGGTGGTTCTTCCTGCTCTCTGCCGGCCTCGCGCCAGCTTTTCCAGGTTTCTGCGGGAAACGGCCAGGCCCTGGYGTAGGGGAGGAGCTGGAGGGATGTGCAGGGTGCAGAGGCTCCGCACAGGCCTTCCCTTCGTGTCATTTGCACTAGGAAGACGGGAGGCTTTCAGTGGAATGCCGGTCACAACACGTAGCGTTTTCCATGGAGAGAGAACACGGTGGGAGGGCAGCCTGGCAGCGAGGCAGGGAGGGCTCTGGAGTGATCCCGCGTGTCCCGCCGCATTGCAGCCGGCGCGGGGACTCGTGGAGCACGGCCCCGTCTCCCTAGTGCCCTGTGGCCTTTCCTTGCGTCCCCGCCGGGCGGGCTGGCTGCTTCCCACTCCTTCCTGCAGCCTCTCGGCTCCAGCGTCCTGCTGCGACTCCCACCTTTCCCGCAGCTCCCGGCACTCTGGGAAGCTCCCCGGGAATTGTGTCCCAGAACAGCTTTTCTCCCGGGAATGGGCAGGCTGCTCGCTCGGCGCTGCTCCCTTGCCTGGGCTCACCGCCTGCAGCAGGTTTTGCCCAGGCCTTGCTGCTCTTCATGGGCTGTTCCCGCTGTGCAGCCACGCTCCAGCCTGCTGGATTTGACATCCCGATAGGCTCTGTAAAACAGTCTGCTTCCCCTGCATCCAGGGAATGCGCCTGTCCGAGGGACCCTGTAGGAGCAGCGGGCAGTGACAGCCGCTCGTGCTGCGCGTGGGAATGCCCGTGACCAGCTGCAGAAGAGAAGGTTTCTGGGCTCCAGCAGGCCAAGGGGGCTGTTTACTGCTGCCAAAGCTCCGTGTTTTGAGGAAGYGGCGGCTTGAGGGAGCGGGAGCCCTTGGGAGCTCAGAGGGCAGGGCGGGAGCTGCAGGAGTCCCGGCGCGGAGGGATGTTTCCCTCTCCTGGGGCTGGAGCTGACTCCGTGTGCCGAAGTGTCCCAGCTTTACCTCTGCTCGGCAGGGCTTTGCCGGCAGCCCTGGCAGCGCCCGGTTCCCTGGGGCTGAGCTCGCCATGGCCGCGCTTCCCCTCTGCCCTCGCGCTCCCTTTCCCGTCTCACTGCTACCACCTGCTGCGCCGCAGGCTTCCCGCGCTCCTTGCAAACTCCTGGAAAGGCAGGAACACRGCCCAGCCGAGCCGAGGCCGCGTCTGCGCCGCCGCCTTCCACCCCGGGCACGGATCCCGCTCCGGGGCTGGGTTCCCGAGCTCCTGCCTCSGGCAGACAGGCTCACAGGAGCTGCGAGTTTGAGGATGCTCTTTGTGGACACTGCAGCTTGCTTTATTAATCCAGTTAATGCTGCTGTAGGGAAAACAGAATAACTCAGCCAGAGTCTGTACGATTTTTAGTTTAAGTATCAGCAGGCAGTGGAAACTCGGCAGTTAAGTGCCAGCCTGTGGTTGCAAAGCAGGCGGTGAGACCTAGCACCTCATGGATAACAGGGGTGAGMGGAGGATGGGCACGTTGCCCTCGGCCTCCCTGCTGCAGTCCCTGCGAGGACAGTCCTGCCTGTGGCACCTCCCCAGGGCCCTTGTGCCCAAGGAGTCAAACGTCAGCACCCTGGTGGGTTCGTTTGGGCACCTGCTGTGTTCTCATTTATCCCAGGACCCGTCTGCATGAGGAAGCTGTGCAAAACTGTGTATAATTTTGGGGGGGAGGGGAGAGGGAGCTTGGAAGTAGACAGGCGTTATTGCCCACTTGTGTTCTAAAAAGTTTGTTTTCTGTTTGTTTCCAGTAACTGAGGTGCTGACAAGTTCTGACTTCTTCATCCTCCTAAACATGAGCGAAGTTCAGGCTATGGTAGAATTCTCCGTGGAGCTCCACAAATTCTTCAATGTGGATTTGTTCCAGAGAGGGTAGGTAGCGCGCTCTTCCCGGCTGCACGGGCTCCTGCTGGTGCTGTCACTGTCCTGTACGTTGCGTTGATTATTTGGTCCTTGTTGGAATGGCAGATGCYTTCTAGGAGTTGAGATGAATGCTCAATGCTCAAATAATCTGCCCTAAACCGTAAGCTGTGATAAAATACTTGTTGTCTGATGGGAGAAGAGGGAAGTTCCTTAGGCTCTGAGGATAGTTTCTATTTTTACCCGGGCCTTTTTGCTTTCATATCCCAATTGCCGTAATCCCTTTTGCTTGCAGTAATATAGGYGTGTCTCTGGAGACTTTTTTTAAATGTTGCTACCACAGTTATCTTATTAATTTGTCAAATTGACAGTGGAGAACACGGCCACCAGCTCCGCTCTTCCCCTTGTTTGTGCTCTCCCTCCCCAGGGAAGAAGGGCCCTTTGCTGCCTGCTTGGGCTCTCCTCGTGGCCCCTCTCCCTGGTCCCTCTACAAGGCTCTTAGACATCCCTCTCATTTGCTGCTCCTGGTGGTTTCCAGATGCCTTCCCAAGGCCCTGCTTACCTGTGACTCTGCGTTTGCATTTATTTTAAAGGTGTTGGGGATTATTGGTCCAGCATTTTGGTACATTTGCACTCTCGTGGACTGCAGCCAAAATGTCGATTTTCAGCCCTTAGGACGTTTGCTTTGGACAGATCTGGTTGAGGCTGTGGTAGTGGTTACAGACAGTGAACAACMTGCGTCAGTGCTGATTTAACGACAGCTCATTTATTCATTAGAGAGGAGCTTGCCTTAGACAGGCTTTATCAATAATAAAAGACACTTTTCTTCTTAAACCTTGCTATAATGCAAGACAGCTTCTTGTTGTTGTAATGTGTTAGCTTTAACAGAAAGGAGCCTGAAGAAAAGAGCCTCTCTTGGTTGTCYTTGCCTTCTGATTCAGGTGATTTCTCACAGGTAGTTTAGAAACTGAGCGTGGCCGTGTAACTACCAGTGCTCCACTTAACCTGTTTCTTTCTTGCTTGTTCTTTAAAGAGCAGTAWATTCACAGCATAAATTCAGAGAGGTAGAAACTTCCCTGAAGTAACGTGATGAGAGTCCAAATTACAGGTGCCCTTCGGGAGAAGGATGTTGCCTCTCTGGTTTCAGGCTGAACCTTTGGCCTTGGACATGATCCCTTAGAAGGCCGTGGCAGGAGGKAGTGGGAGCTTCCAGAGTAAGTCAAAAGACAGAGGGAATAGTGTGACTTCTGYACTGTCTGCCTGTGTGAGTAAGTCGTGGTGTCCTCCCTGCCGCTGGAGAGAGGTCTGGAAGGTCCCAGAGGCCGGCACTACGTGCCAGAGGAGCACGTGCACGGTGGCTGGGAGCGTTGTTCCATACCCTCACTCCTCCAGTTGTTGGAGAGACTGTAATTTCTAGCCTAAACTTCCTTCTGAGTAATTCCTAGCTGGGTTTTTTTGRGTTTTTTTTAATCAACTTTGTCTTGTAATTAGGGTGACTGTTTCAGTCSGAGTGTTTACTCCGGTATATTTATAGATGTCAATATTTTGGCTGTCCTCTTAAATGCAAACTGAATCAGTTTGATTGTCTGAGTTGATTTCTGTGACCCCATTTTTTGTGGTATCTTTATACCTCAGTATTCAATCTTAAACTTTTGCTTTTGTAACTTTTGCTTTTGTGAAGCTTTGCTTTTGTAGGGATCTGGCTCTGCAGCGATGCAGTTTTCAGCAGCATTTATGGCTGTATTSAGAGCAACGGTGAGTTTGGTGCATTAGCAGACAAACAGGAGCAGTTGGTGCTGACTGAGGTCCCTGTGTCCATGTGGGTCCAGGGTTACCTGGGATCCTCTGGCCCAGATATTCCTCTTGTGCAAGTGGTTTGGAGCTGTTCATAAGACCAGTCATATTGCTATTCTAAACCCAGACACAGCAAAGGTTCTCATAGGATTTCACTGAAAATCAAATCTGAGTCCTGGAACTGACCCACCYTTATTCTCCTAACTGATGCTTTAAAGCAGGTTATTTTATTTTCTTTCCTTTTTACTGTTATCCTGTAGTGGGAGGGGCGATAGGCAGTGCAGACACCTTAATATATAAGATTTATCTGTATATGCAGTTCTCTGCTTCTCAGCTGGCTTAGGAAAGGGCCCATATATGACCAAGGAGATTCTTGTGCTTAGCACATTGTGTTTTAGTTGTGTTGCAGTTTTAAGGGACAGGAATGCAGTTTAGTTACAGGATATTTATACTGATGTGACTATTCCGTTATATTTTTGCAGTATATACATCCAATATATATATTGCAAGTTTACAGTGATAGGACGGTAGGCAGCAGGCTTGGGGTCGAAATAGGAAGTTCTGGTTATACAAGTTGGAAAGTGTTTTCATGATGAGGATGGTGGGATATTGGAAGAGGCTGCCCAGAGGGCTGCTGGAGTCTCCATCCTTGGACAGAATAAAAGCCCCACTTGGCAGGTCCCTGCCTGCACAGCCTGGCGGAGCTGGACCTGCGTTGTGCAGGGCTCGGGCTGGAGTTTGCTTCCAGGCTAAATCATTCTGTGATTCAGGTGATTTATTCAGCCTTTATTCCTCCCAAGGAAGGAAACTTCAGTGTCTCCCAAGTGTGTATTTTTTGAAATGCCCGTTTATGATTTGGGTGCGTTCTGAGGATSAACTGCATTTTGAAGATGATTTCTCCAGCCCTTGCAACCTGGCAAGCATCGATGCTCCTCGCTGCCTGTGCCCTCTTTATGTTTAGAAATAAACACGTGATTTCTTATCAGAGCCACCCCCAGGCGAGTTGTGTGGCCGCGCAGAGCCAGACGGGCAGACTTGAGGCCGCCCATGGGCGGGCGGGAGGCTCTGCCCGGGCCGGGCCAGGCCCTGCCGCGGCGCGGTGAGGAAGGCCGTCCTCAGTGAGGAGGCCAGCTTCCCGTACCCAGGGCTGGAGGCTCCTAACCAAGTACGTGGCACGTTCGGAGGGTTAGTGCCCCTCGGGGATGAGCACCCTTGGCCTTTGCTCTTCCCACCAAACTGGTGATTCGGCCTTCTGAGCTGCCAAACCAGGGTACTCACCTCTCCGTGCCCATTTCCCATGGTGGAATATCTGCCAAGGAGGTGCAAAACCCCAAAGTATGGAGCAAAACCCCGTCCCCAACCCTCGCGTGACAGATCCCTGGCCACGGGTGTGCCTGGGGCTCCCGCAGGGCCCGGGGAGGCCGCCCGGCCAGGCCTGCTGCGCTCAGCGGAGCAGCGAGGGAGGCAGGGCTGTTCCCCCGGCCAGCATCGCTGGCCTAAAGGTGGCTCCTGGGAGCAGTTTCTGCCACCCTCACACTGCCCTTCTGTCACGTGAAGCCATCCTGCCATTCACATGTGCTCTTAGGTTGCTGCAAGCGGTTTGGGGGATAAAGACTCCCTCTGCTTGCACAGCAGCAAGCTGGTTCATGTATTAGGTCTATACTGAGAGGCCTATTCTGCCTATTTATAGTAATTTATAGATTAATCACWATTAATAATAGTGATTAATAAGAATAAACTCATAATATTTTGTCAACAAACTTGTTCCAGGTAACTGGAATGAAAATCAGTCTCGGACATGGAATCAATGGCAAAACTTTCTCTTGGAACATTTCTTAAGTACTTCTCTTACTTGTTTTTATGTCTAACTTGGATTGATGAATCCATGTCTTGAGGGTGGGGAGAGAACTGCCCTGGTTCCCTCAGCTGTGGGAAGATGGAGTTTTCATCTCATTTCTCTAGAAGTGTCTGATATTTGTTCTGCTGTGAATCAGCAAATCTGAGCTAAGACTGAGGATCTGAGCTGATAGCTTCCAGTGAAGCATAGCTCATGGCTCACACACTGTTAGAAGGCCTCTTCTGGAAAATAATTATGGTCTGCGGCTTCTCTACCTGCATGCATTTTTGGAATAGCCATGTTRAATTCTCATTTTGTCACTCATCTTTTTTTGTTATCATTATTTTGTCAGTATTGGCCAGATCTGAATTTAGAAGATGTAGATACTTAGGTGTCTGCTTTGTCTAAGCTGGTTACACCAGTGGGCTGTGAGCAGTGCAGGTAAAATATTAACAGCACCTCTTTACTATAGCTATAGATTTACATGTTGGTGCTCACTGAATCAGCTGTGCTTTAAGATCTTTCAAGGGCACAGCAAGAGTKTCCTTAACGAAGGTAAATAGGCTACACTTTAGAAGTGTTTGAATATTGGTTAACAGATAGAGGAATACTAAAAGCCTTGTGCAGAAGAGGCTTGAATGGATTCTAACATGAAATTCATTTYGGACGTGCATCACATCTGCAAGTAGGTTGTTCATAGGGTTTTCGGTAGCTCTCCGTGTGTGATGGCTGAGGAACCTAAGTCCTGCTCAAAGGCCTGGGAATTGAAGCTTCAGAAAGACTTGCAGAAATTCAGCCTTACAGTATTCTCTGCTCCATAGATTTGTAGCGTTTACATATGCAGATACTGATACCCCAGAGCAGCCTTGGCATTTGGGCTTGCATGCCCGAAAAGAAAGTATTCTGATTCAGAGTATTATKTTTTGATGAATCTCATTATGGTTCACTAATCATCTCACTTTCTCAGTAATTTACTGAGAAATCAGGCAATACGTGAATGTGGGGGGTTTTTTTTCCCCCTCATCTAGTGAGTTGTCCACATGAATTTGTTTTATATTCTGTTAAAAGTAACTTAAAATGTGAGGAGAAGGGCGTGAGTGGAGCGAGCAGCGCGGTCCCTCCATGGGCTTCCTGCAGCAGAGTGGCCAGCCCTGCTGCCCTGTCCTGTCCTGGTGTTTTCCCAAAATAAAAACCTTTGGCAAAASGCAGATTTTAGCCAGGTGCTTCTCTTGGTTAGTTTGCCTGCTTAATTTTTATAGGTGTATGTGAAGAATGAGTCCAAACCTGACACTGGAAGCCTCGYTGAACAGACCCGCTGGCTCCTGTGGATCTTTGGGGCATCGGGATAGTGGAATCTGGCAGCGGAAGCAAAGGCTTTTGG